CCACCGTTCGTTCCTCTACGCCGGTGTAAAGCGGCGATGCGCAACCCTGCCGCGCGCGCACGCTCAGCGGCGGGCCGGCCGCGGCGCGCCCCGCCGCGCCAGCCCATAGCCTCACGTCGTCATTGGGCCGTTTGTGACCTTACGCTTCAAGATACGGCAAAACGGACGAAATTTCTGGCCTATAAGGCCCGTAACTTGCCATTTTCCTTCAGAATTGATGTGTCGCTTGCCAAAATTTTTGAATTTTTTCCTTTTAGGGGGTTCATTTAGAGACCACATAGAAACTTTTTAGGGGTTGACCAACTTGATTTTCGGAATACTCAAAAATAAGGCACACCCTAGCGTACGTTCTGTAAACGCGGACGTTCTCTAAACGCGTACGTTCTCAAAACGCGTACGTTCTCTAAACGCGTACGTTTTCTAACACGGACGAGAAGTGTGTAAAACAATTTTTTTGAAAAGTCAAACTTCATTCTCCAATATCAAACCCTAATATTGAAGTTCATCAAATCTAAAATTACACTTTCCAAACTTAGTGTTTTACTAGATTGGAAAATATCGATAATTTTTTATCATTTCCGATTTTAATGCAGATAATGGCCTGGATGTGCACCGTCCGGCGACGTTGTAACCGCCATCTTGAAAAATACACCATTGCATAACCTGCGTATTGAAGGGGCTACATTACACCATTTCATAACCCGCATATTGAAGGGGCAACATGCAATACTTTTTTACAGCGTTGCCATATTGAACAATAATCAATACAACACTGTAATTTAATTCATATTTTTCTGCACAATTTGGCTAAAAACTTTTGTTCTAAAGTCGCCATTTTCATACTACTAAGAATGTGAGGATGTGCGAACTCTTACAATCCCTAGTAGCAGAACAAATTTTTGTTTTTCTAAAAAAAGTATAAAAAAAACATATCTGTTATCTAAATGATCGTTTTTGTATATAAAAAACGTGTAACGCTTATATAAAAAAAAATCAAAGTTCAGACCTGACCGTAATATATGAAAAATGATAAAAGCTAGATAAGGTATTTTTTTTTTATACACACATTTTTTATTTTTTTATATAACGCATGCATACGAAAGTGTTAAAAGTGAACATTTTTATGTAACGATTATATAAAAAAATAGGTCATCATTTTCGTGAGCTTTTCGCGAATTAGAAGAATTTTTAGTATGTTCGCGAAAAGCTCACGAAAATTATAACATTTTTTTATATAATGGTTACATAAAAATGTTCACTTTTAACACTTTTGTATGCATGCATTATATAAAAAAAATTAACTTTCGTACATAATATTTATCTTTTTCTTCTGTGGTTCTGCTACTAGGGAAATATCATGAACCGCACGGGGCCGCGAGAACCAGTGATCTTTATTAATCAGAGTGATCTTGTTTACTGGACTCGTTCGATAAAACCCAATAGGGGTTCTCACACGATCAATATGGCGCAACTTGCTCATCAATATAGAGCGGCGCCGCACAGTGCAGTGTCATTATGGCGCGAAGGGACAAAAATCATAGCTCGCAGACAAAAGCACATAGAAAGGTGAAATTTGGTATGAAAGGTCTTGAACATATAGACTATCGTTAGACGAGGTCAAATTTTGTTAATGACACTTTGGGGCGGGAGGAGGGGGGCGGGAGTGCTGATACTTGAAGGCGAGTGTTTGGGCGGTAGAGACCGAACTCATAGCTCAAAGACAGAAAGATATAGAAAAGTGAAATTTGATATGAGACCTCCTACACATATGTGCTATTGTCGGATGGGGTCAAAATTTCATAATGACACTTGTGGCGGGGTGAGGGGGGCGGAAGCAGTGATACTTGAAGACGTGCATTTGGGCGGTAGGGACAAACATTTTAGTCCAAAGTTGGTAGCACATACAGAAGTGAAATTTGGGTGCGACCTCTTCTACCGATAGGCCATCGTTAGATGAGGTCAAATTTTTTAAATGACACTTCCGGCGGGGAGGGGTGGAGCGGTCGCAAAGTTACTAAATAAAGAGCGTTCGGGCGGTAGGAACCGAACTTGTAGCTCAAAAACGGATGGACAAAGAGATGGAAAATTTGACATGAGACCTCCTATTCATACAGTCTATCGTTAGATGGGATTAAGTTCTTAAAGCAGCACCTGGAGGAGGGGGGGGGCTGTAACAATTATAGTGAGATCGATTCTGGTCGGAAAAAGACGGTCACAGCACATTCCCCATGATTTGATCTGAAATTACTGGTTAACAACAGGCCCTGTTACCTTTACCCAGATTAAACCTTTTTAACACGTATTATAATTTTTTTTTTAAATTTTTGTGTGAGAAAAAAGTCGCAAGAACAAAAAATGCTCAAGCACTGTGATTATCCGAGGGAAAATCGGCTTTTCCGAAAAATTGGAGGACGACGCGGAAAGACGGATAGAATTTCCGGGGGGAGGGGGGCATGTATTAGAGTATTGTATAGAATGAACATCATGTCTAATAACCACATGTGTATGTAACTTTTTTTTTTCTTTGTCGGAAAGGAATCATGAAGTTCGCCTTAAACAGAGACCGTATCATGCAGTTCAACGAGTATACCCGATTCCCGACTTGAGGTCACAAAACCGACGATTTCGTCGGTGTGTGACAATTTGTAGCTGGAAGCTAAACAGTTTCTTAATCTGGAGGGTATTTTGAACAACATATCAAAAAATTACGTTGATATATTTTGATATATTTTTTTAATCTATGTTTAAAGACATACGATAATAAGCCAATATGCCGCTCATTGCGCGCCTGAGCCCTGACTTGAGGTCACAAAAATGACGATTCCGTCGATTTGTGGCAGTTTGTGGCTTAAAACTAAACATATTCTGAATCTGGAAGGTATTCTGAACAACATATCAAAAAACTGCGTTGATATATTTTGATATATTTTTTTAATCTCTGTTTAAAGATATCATCACATCTCACTTATCGATCACGTGGCTGATTTCTGACATGAAAGGGCGGACGCCATATTTGTCGTTAAATTTGAGGTCCAATTGAGTAGAAATCAAATAGATTATGGATTTGAAACATCATTTTAACAACTTATCAAAAAACACGGCTGAACTCATGCATGCACACTGGCTCGCTTTGGTTTCACGTATGGCTGTTATAAAAACAAGCCAATATGCCGCTCAGTGCGCGCCTAAGCCCTAACTTGAGGTCACAAAAATGACGATTCCGTCGATTTGTGGCAGTTTGTGGCTAAAAACTAAACATATTCTGAATCTGGAAGGTATTCAGAACAACATATCAAAAAATTGCGTTGATATATTTTGATATATTTTTTTAATCTACATTTGAAGATGCGTATATGGAATAAATCGAATTTATGGCATCATCAACGGAAGACCGGACTGAGAGGCCCTTAATTTAAGAATTTAAAATAATCAACATAGTTTTTGTATGGACAAGCATACCTTGTACCTAAACATTCTACCTTGTTCCGTTCTGATTAGGATAATATCAGTTATCACCCGTCATAACACATGATGCCCGCTGCTGGATCTCTGCTAATTGTGCATCCGCGCAGGTTCCGTGATTTCCCCTCCCCCTCCCTCCCTTTCAATAACATTTTCATGTCAAGAAACTTCGAATTTTTCCCTCCCATCCA